AGCCTGATTCCACCACACTGCCTCACATATTACCTCTGAAACCAGGCAAGCCCACCTCATTTAATCACAAATATCTCGACATGTACTCAAGATAAATGGGTAATTTTTTCATCGAAAGCAAGGCAAATGACCAAGCTCTTAAGGTAATACCAATAACTCCACATGCCCCAAAATTGCCGAGGGCCTGATTCCACCGCGTCGTGACACATTTTGTAAATGATCATTAAATTGACATTTCATGTACATAACTACTTGATTGTTTCTTCACAACTATTATCTGATTCATTTCCATTGTCAGTTGACATCCCAGCTGGAATAAATGAAAGAGGCATTTTCCCTCTTTTTCTGTTAGTTACATGTGGGTAGTTGGTGGGTGCTCTGGTGTGGTTCGCTCCTTCTTTCCTATCAAACATCTGTCATTCTTATCTCTCCTCCTTCTTTCCTATCAAACATCTGTCATCCTTATCTCTCCTCCTTCTCTTTTGTGTGTTTTTACTCTCTCTTGTGTTGCTTCTAATCTTCTGCACCCAAATGACCTTATTGTGTTGCAAGTGCCGTAAAACACATACTGAAACAAAAAACAAAAAAAAACCATCTGACAAAGAGAAAGACAAAGCTCATGACATCTCATTCTGGCATAAAAAAATAAACCAAAAACGAAAGCAAAAATGAAAGTTAGTTACACAGTGTGCTCTTTTTCGCCATTTCAGTTCATTGTGCTTCAACTGGACGTGAACGCGGAGATGACCATGAACTTTTCCGGAATCCCTCAACTCACCGACTACACATTTGCGCTGATGGCAGAGCTACGGAAGACAGAGAAAGTCCGCCTAAATTCTGTGAGGAGGATCGTTCTGGACGGATGTCACCTCATCACGGACGCTGCACTTCGCTGGATGTCCCAGACGTTCCCAAGTTTGGAAGGGGTACTACTGAGAGTCTCTTCTTTTGATTTTTTTTTGGGTGTGTTTTGGTTTATTTTGTTTGTTTGTTTACTTGTTTGTTTTGTCCTTACGTATGATACGAGTCACTATCAGAATATTTTTTTGTTTTTCGAATCTGTAGAATTTCGTCTCATTTAATATCGATGTCACCTCCTCATGAATGCTGCACTTCCCTGGATGTCCCAGACATTCCTAAATTTGGAAGGGGTACTACGGAGTCTCTTCTTTTGTTCTGTGTGTGTGTTGTGGTTTATTTTGTTTGTTTGTTTTGCTCTGTCCTTACATATGATATACTAGTCGTTATCAGAATATTTCTTAACCGGTTCTATCTCAAGGGTGACAATATATCAAGTATTATTTCCTAATTGTTTAATAGTCTACCTTGTTGGGTGTATAATTATTTCTCTTGATGATGAGATATCTACATATTCTAAATGAGAAATAGTATGACTTTGATAGTTCTAAGCAAAGCTGTATGATCATCCATAAGTAACCACGGAAGGTCTCAAAAGTGGCGCTCGTATGACCTTATGCAGTTGTGAGTGCCGTAAAAAGTCTACTAAACTAAAACTAAAAATACCCTCCCCCCTCAGTGGGTTTTTAAAAAAAATCTGTATCATATCTCATCTCATATAATATCAATGTGAGCTCGTCACGGACGCTACATTCCACTGGATGTCCCAGACATTCCCAAGTTTGGAAGGGGTACTACTGAGAGTCTCTTCTTTTGATTTTTTTCGTGGTGTGTTTTGGTTTATTTTGTTTGTTTGTTTACTTGTTTGTTTTGTCCTTACGTATGATACGAGTCACTATCAGAGTATTTCTTTGTTTTTTTAATCTGTATCACATCTCACCTCATTTAATATCGATGTCACCTCCTCATGAATGCTGCAGTTCACTGGATGTCCCAGACGTTCCCAAGTTTGGAATGGGTAATTCTGAGAGTCTGTTTGGGTTTTTTTTGCCTGTACGGGTTTTGTCCTTTTGTGGAATAATTGTCATTATCAGAATAGTTCTTTTTTTGTCAAATATATATTATATCCTACCGTATGATAACAATCATTTTCTGAATAATCCTTGGGGGTTCTACTAAGATTCTTTTCTGTTTTGTTGTTGGTTTTTTGTTTTGTCTTTGTGTAAGATAGTAGTCATTATCAGATTATTTTTGTTTTTTAAATCTATATTATAGCCTTTGTTTTAGTAATAATCGTTTTTGTGTGTGTGTTTGTGTATGTGTGTGTGTGTGTGTGTGTGTGTGTGTGTGTGTGTGTCTATCTTTGTTTGTATTTGTAATTTCTTATGTGTGTGCATGTATAAGCAAATATTAATTTTTTTCCCCAGTTATGTACTCTGTACTTGGATTTATGTAAAGTGCCTGGAATCTAGAGCTGTGTGCACGTGGGAGCAGTCACCGTAAAAATGACTAACATTATTATTTTTCTTATCTTTCTGTCTGCCCTAGGTTAGTTTGGCGGGGTGCTACAAGATTACAGAAGCTGGACTTGTGGCCTTGAGTAAAGGTTGCCCCAAACTGATTTCTAACGACCTGAGCAGCACAAATGTGATGCTGCTACCCAGGAGTTGGTTGCCAGGCGACGGGATGAAGATGACGTGCTGTCCGGTTCTCTATCCTGTGGAAGGAGACGAGAGGAAGAAACTGAAAGGTGTGCACAAATTGTGAGACGTGCTGACAAAATGAGTTACTTCTCGCAATCCACAAACAGAGATATTGGCCAAAAATCGACACTAGGGTCAAATTTGTACATTTTCTATTTATGCCACATTCTTTAAGTATAACCTGCCTTTTATTATTTCATACTTTTCCCAAGCTACCCCACACATCTAATTGCCTCTACTCCTCAAGACAACAATTAGAACAGACATGCAGCTATTACCGAATGGCATCATGCAGAAGAGTTAACGCTCAGATGCTACTGGATCGCTAACAACAACAACAACATCATTTCATACTTATAAATTGTAAAAACTTCACCTATAAGTATAAGAGTGATGTATCTATTTCCGAAGGGCTTGAATCCGAGAAGTAACTCATTTTGTGCACAAATTGTTCTTTGTACATTTGCGAGGCGAGCTGACTAAGTGAGTTACTTCTCAGATTTAGCCCCATGGAAATAGATGCATCAAGTTAATATGAGGAGTTTGTACAATTTATAAGCATGAAATAATAAAAGACAAGTTAAGTTTGAAGAAAATGGCATCAATTGAAAATCTGCAAATATGACCCAGGTGTCTATTTTCGGCGGATATCTCCATTTGCGAATTGCGAGAAGTAACTCATGTTGTCCGCACGCCTCACATTTGTTCTTTGTACTGTAGTTTCAGCTTAACTTTTTCAGCCCTGAGTTTTTTCCACCATTTCCCGGAGTTTTTTTTCTACAGTCACCTAAACCTGGTGCACTATGTCTCTTTACAACCCCAAACGCTTGCCTCCAACTTCTAAATAGCGGAAACAAAGGCTTATTCTTGGTTCGGGAATAGTTCTGAAAAACAAGCAATAACAAGAACTAAATCAAACGAAACAGTTGTCTCTAGTTCTGGACGCTCCCACCGTCGGATGGGGAACAGTGTTATAAGCGCCGGACGCTCGAGCGTCTGATGGGGTTCAAAGAGTGAAGAGAATCACCAAACTTTTTGCTATACTTATTAATGCACCACTTTTTGTGGGTAGGAAAAAGTATTACAGTAGACTTTGTGTTTTAACACTAAATTCCTTTTTAATTGAAGCGGAGTTCAAATCCCTATGACTAAACAGAGCAGAGAGACAGTAGGAGAAGAAGGACGAGGAGAAAGAGGAAAATGAGGAAAAAATATAAGCGGTAAGCAAAGAAGAGGGAATAAAAGGAAGAGGAGAAGGAATAGAAGAAAAAAGGGGGAGTAGGTTTCTGAACGTTAATTCTGGTTTTTTTCTTTCATAGCGGAACCCGTCAAGGCAGAGTCCAGTGACCTTGTCCAGGTGTGTATTCTGCGCAAGCCAAGCCACACCTGCAGTCTTCTGCACGCCATCAGAGACGAGAAACAGACACCGTCGCCCTCGCAGCTCGCTGTGGAGCACAACGTCGCACTGACCTCTGACCTCAAGGCCGCGGTGCTGGAAGCTCCACAGGTGATTATTGTTGTTGTTGTTGTTGTTGTTGTTGTTGTTGTTGTTGTTGTTGTTGTTGTTGTTGTTGTTGTTGTTGCTTTTGTTGTTTTTGCTGTTGTCGTTTTAGTTGTTGTAGGTGGTTGACAGGTGATTATCGTTGCTGTTGTTGTTTTTGTTGTTGTTATTTTTGCTGTTTTTGTTGTTGTTGTTGTTGTTTCTGTTGTTTTTGTTGTTGTAGGTGGTTTACAGGTGATTATCGTTGCTGTTGTTGTTGGTGTTGTTGTTTCCGTTGTTGAATTTATTGTTTTTGCTGTTGTTATGGGTGGTTATCGGATGCTTATGGTTGTTGTGGCAATTGTTGCTGCTGTTGTTTTTATTGCATTTATTGTTACTGCTGTTGTGTTTTAATTATAACTGTTGTGGGTGGCTGGTGGATGCTCTTGTGTGGTTTACTCCTTCTTTCCTCCATCAAACATCTATCGTCCTCATCTCTCCTTCTGCTTTTATTTGTACTCTACTCTGGAGTACAACTTCCAGTCTTTGGTACTTACAGGATCAATTTGTGTTGCAATGGCTGTAAAACTCTTTGTAGAACTAAAACTAATCTGGCAGGACGACATGAAAGAGTAGATAGGCACAACCTGGACACAGAAAACAGCTGACAGAACAGACACAGAAAACAGCTGATAGAACAGACACAGAAAACAGCTGATAGAACAGACACAGAAAACAGCTGATAGAACAATAGAACAGACACAGAAAACAGCTGATAGAACAATAGAACAGACACAGAAAACAGCTGATAGAAAAGTGTGGAGGTTTTTGTTGGAGTTCTACATCCTGCAGTGGACGAACGACGCCTAGAAAGAAAGAAAGAAAGAAAAAAAAGAAAGAGAGAAAGAAACTGACTTTTGTTTACTGTAAGAGATACTTTTAGACTTTCATCAACACAAAATTCTATTACTTGTTGAACGCACGACTGTCAGCTCAGAGCTCTAGTATTTATTGCCAGCTCTATCCCTGGCCTTTGTCCACAGTCTCTGTTTAAGTTGCTGGTGACAGATCGCACCGTGGTCGTCCTCCCCTCTGAGCTTAAGGACAAGAGCAAAATCCACGAAGAGGCGGCCACTGCAGCCGGGCTCATTATCGAGGTTCTTGGTGAGGTGAGTTCACATTGGAACAAACTGCTTCCGAGCAATTTGTCGGTAACTGACAGGACAGAAATGTGCCACAATGCAGTGGAATCAGGCACTCTTCAATTTTTGGGGATAAGGAGTTATTGGTATCGTCCTAATGGACACACAAGGTGTTGGGCCAAAAGACCAAAATTCGAAATAAAATTTCCATACTTGCCGAAAAATGCAGATTTCTCGGATTTCATTACTATTTTGACGAGCGCCTGATTTGATCACGGTGCCTCACAAATAAGACCCAATTTGTCCCGTCAGTTACCGAAACTGAACACGTCGCAGAATTTGCATAATGTACTTTTTTCTTCGAATGAGTGCATTTAATATGCTTCTAAATATATCTTTCAAATTTTCTGATCATTTAACTTTGTAATAAATTATGATTGATATTGAATTACAATTTTGTCATTGTAAGAAAGTAAAGACCAAATGTCCTGTCAGTTACAGTGGAATAGCACTTCTTTAAAAGAATTAAAGTAAAACATAATGAACAAGCAAAATTTACTTGACCCACACATTTGTTTGATTCCAAATTTAATAATAACCCTTTTGTGACATACTTCTGTCGTCAAAAGAAAAATTAAGAAAACCTGTGTGTCATCCCAGTAGTCAAAATCTTTGTCTCATTCTGGCCATCAATACACTTTATTATATTTTTTGAATGGTCAATGTCACACTCACCATTGTCAGAGGTGTAACAGTTAGGTTTTTTGTCGTTGCAAGAAGAAGATATCAACTCAATTCCCATGGAGAGGATTTTTATGGGGTATCTCCTTCCATTACAATTGGGCTTACGGGAATCAAACTCAGGTCTGCTGCCTGCAAGAGCAAAGTACTTAACTACTACACCCCAGACGTAGGTATTCTGTTTCTTTCCTAGAAAGTTCCATGCATTCATATGACCTTATGCAGTTGCGAGTGCAGTGAAACGCTTACACCCCCCCCCCCCAGAAAAAACCCCATGCCATGCCAACTTGTTATGCTGTAACATTTTTTTCCCTCTCTTCTGTTCCCCAGCACCCACACACCCAGTTTGTTCTCGCAGGATGCAGCACCGATGCTGCAGGCATTGTTCCCACCGACCTGGTCCGAGCTGAGCTGGAGCAATATCTGAAGAAACTGGCCACCCTCATCAACGAGACGAATTATCCTCTTGTGTAAGTGTAAAGATGAGATGGGGTGAGATGAGGCGAGGCGAGGTGAGGCGAGGTGAGGCGAGGTGAGCCTAGATGAGATGTTGTCAGATGAGACAAGATAGGAATAATCTTTATTGTCCAGCCACTGTCATACTGGTTTGGTGTTTCAACACTCTCTCTCTCTCTCTCTCTCTCTCTCTCTCTCTCTCTCTCTCTCTCTCTCTCTCTCTCTCTCTCTCTCTCTCTCTCTCTTTCTTTCTTTCTCTCTCTCTTTTTCTCTCTCTCTCTCTCTCTCTCTCTCTTTCTTTTTTCTCTCTCTCTCTCTCTTTTTCTCTCTCTCTCTCTATTTCTCTCTCTCTCTTTTTTCTCTCTCTCTCTCTTTTTCTCTCTCTCTCCTTCTCTCTCTCTCTCTCTCACACACACACACACACACACACACACACACACACACACACACACACACATACACATACACACAATGACACAGCAGTCAAACTATCAAGTGGTACTTCCCTCAAACGGAATGAAAACTTTTTTGACATATGAGTAATCTATCTGATAACACCAAGTGAAAGATCGTTTGTAATACATTGTTGTTATTTGGACCTGTAAAAAAGAGCGCTTCTTCTAATTTTAACAAGGTCATTATCAAAGAAGCTTGGAATTTGTTCGCTTTTACAAAAGAAGGTAGTGGACATAAAAGTATCTATGATTCTTTATTTTGAAGATCGTCTTTCTCTGTTTGATAATGTCACTCAAAATACTGTCACTAATGCAGGTAAGAGCTGCTTTTGAACTGAGACTGAATAATAATGTTTGTCTTTTTTTTTTTGGGGGGGGGGGGTTGTTTTTTTGCTGGTTTTTTTTTTGGGGGGGGGGGGGTAATCTAAAACCTTTACCGCTTGCAATATCTTTACATGTCCATTACCTTTTTGTTCTTTTTGGCCAAGTCATTAGTGTTGAACACTTTGTGGTTACTTGCCGTAATAATGCGATGGGGAAAATTATCCGTTCCGGTCCCTGGCGCAGTTCTGCGACGGGCCCGAGAAGTCCGTTGCAGTCGCTCTCCTGGCTGGGTGACCAGATGAGGTGTTTTGTACTGCTGGCTGTGGGACTGCAAAGTGTTAAGCCCCCCCCCCCCCCCCCCCCGGGCAGTGCTACTGACTGAAGTTGTCTTTAGGCCATTCCTAAAGAGGAGATATTAACAAGTTCTTATGCACAGTAGAATTGTAAATGGGCTGATTTATCAATGTCATGCTCATACTGTGCTGGAACAACATAGGGGGAACTGCTGCTTTTTCTTTCCTCATCCTTACTATCGTCATTTTACCTCTACTTCTTTTGTATGTTTGTCACTCTCTTGTGAACTGCTATTTCCGGGGTACCTTGATAGTCGAAGCAGACTTTGTGTTGTTGAAGCTAGAGAGGTGAGCAGAGTAAGCCTGATTCCTTGTATAGACTTCTCTGTTGACATCCACCCCTTGTCGCTCATATGACCTTATACAGTTGCGAGCACCGTGAAACCTTTACTAAAACAAACATTGGTGTTTAAAGTGACGACATCGCCCGTAAGTCTTGCCCTGTTGTTCCTCTCAGCCAGGGGGAAAAGCTGGATCTGGCAGGTCAGCAGGAGTTCTCCAATGCCAGACGTCTGTACGATGCCTTGACCAACTTGACCCTGACCTCTCTGGAGGTCAACGTGGACAAAGGGAAGCAAGTGAGTTTTGTTTGGGCACGTGGGTCGTGAAAATGTCAGCCATCATTGTGTGTTTTTTAATATTGCTTTTCACATCTTTACTTAAATGTCTTGAGAACGTCTGCTGTCATCATGTTGTTGCTTTTAAATTGCCTTTTACATCTTTACTAAACTGCTTTGAAAACATCGACCATCATTGTGTTTTAAGAAATTGCTCTCTTCATCTTCATCTGATTTGCTTTTTTTTTATCCCTTGCCTATTTATATGAGATTGACGCCATCTGATTGGTAGCAAAAAGTGCGTATGATAGTGTCCAATAGTGTATTACGTGCATACTTAGTATGACAAGTAACTGTTACAGATAGAGATTCCAGGATTATAGATGTAAGTCATTGATCTGAGAGCGGTGATGATTTTAGAAATAATGGTGGTAATGAGTGATGATGTGGGATTGCGTTTAAGTAATTCATCTAATTTGCTAAATTGTTTTGAAAACATCGGCTCTCCTCTTGTTTTTAAAGATTACATTGTTTTATTTTAAAATTGTACATCTTTGCAAGATTGTTTTAAATACATCTTTATAATATATATATCATGAAAAAAGGCCCTCCTTGTTCCCGCAGACTTCAGTATTTACTGTTTCACACTTACTTTTTCTCTTCTTTTTTGCTTTTGACCTCGCACCAGATTTCAAGTATTGTGTCTGTGTACTTTTTTAAAAAACTGGACCTGAAACCAATTCTGTCCACAGAACTGCCAGAAACTTCTAGAAGCCATCGGGGCCAGCGTTCAGAAGATGACCAATATCACGGAGGTCACCTACAGTAAAGAAATTTATGAATGGGCCGTGAACTTCAACAACAAGATGCCCAAAGACTTGGCCACAGGAATCCACACTTTGGAGAAAGCCGCAAAAGTCGTGTCCGACTCCTCAAAACTCAAACTGAAGCTTCAGTCTTATGGTGGTGTCAAGTTCCTCGCTAGTGTTGTGAGTGTTTGGATCTTCCATTTTATTTTAGCAGCCTGTTAAATGATCCAGATTATGTGATGGGACTACAAATCATTTGCAATCACCTTTTTTGCCTACTGTTTGAATGCTTTTCAGCACCTATTACATGCGTTCATGTCCTTTCTTATCGTTTGTATGTGTGAATGCACAAGACCATTATAATACCATTGCCATTGTAAACAGCCAAGCTAAATTTCTCTCTGCGACATTAATACAGATTGTCATTGTCAATTGTCTGCCACCTTTGCAAACTCTGTATTCAACACAGCAGCCCAACTGATATATTATGTCTGTTCACGTTCTGCTACATGGCATTAAGGCAAAGGTCCAAAGCTTAGCAACTACTGGTTCAATGACAAAACTAAACAGCTGCTTCAGAAACAGCACCAGCAACGACAATGACATTAACAACAACAATAGCAGCAACTGCTACAGCAATAACATTAACGTTTGCAATGATAACAACATTTGCAACTACAACAAAAACCAAAAAAAATACAGACAACTGCAGTAACAGCAACAGCCACACACTTTCTAAAATGCTTTTGATTGTGCCCATCCACATTGTTGTGGTTTTTACATTTTTCTAATTAACTATAGGCCTACTTAGTGATGGGATACTACGGGCATCTGTGGTGTAGTCATTCGGCGCTTTGCTGTCACACACAGGAGACATGAGTCGGTGTGGGGAGAACATTTTTATCGAGTATTTCTGTCTTTCCGCAAAGATGTTGTATCCCTCTCAGCCTGTGCTGGCCCTCACAGGCTGGGTAAAAAGCCATCCTAAATGATTTAAATTGTGTCGATAGGGACAAAAAATTACCTAGCCAAAAAAGAACCGAACAAATTCGATAAGAATTGACCAATGGGTAGAAAAAGGTCCATTTCTTCAATTTCATTATTTTGAGAAGCCCCTGATTTCACCACAATGTCACACACATATGTGTCACAACACGATGGAATCAGGCACTCGTCACATTTTGAGCATGTGGAGTTATTGATATCATCTGAAAGCTTATTCATTTGCCTTGCTTTCAAGGAAAAAATACACATCTATCTTGAATAGAAGTCAAGATATTTGCGATTGAAGGAGGTGAGGTCGCCTAATTTCAGTGGAGAAATTAGCAAGAAAATGGATACCAAAGTTTGGTGACTTCCAGAGCTTGAAAATCCTTGAGAACTGAAAATTTGCATTTTAAGTGCCTTTAATCAATTTTTTAAAAGTAAAATCCACACTCGTTTGTGTTTTTAAATAGACATTAAAAGCGTTTACCTAAAAAAATAAAATTCAATAACAATTGTCAAACCAGTAGAGAAAATGACAGTTTCTTCAATTTGATTATTTTGATGACAATGACAGTCTGATTTCACCACGCTGCCTCACGTGGAATAATAATAATAATAATAAATAATAATAAATGACATTTATATAGCGCTCAACCCCGAATAAAGTACACAGGCTCTGAGCGCTTTACAATACAGTACAACATACAACAGTAACATGAAACGTTGTGTTCTGACTAAAGAAAATTATTCCAAATATTCATCTTATTAATTTAAAAACAGAAACGACTTCAGCTGACATTTGAATGAATCAAAAGATTTGATTTCTCTCAACGTACTTGGTAAAGCATTCCAGATCTTGGGGCCTTGGTATTCAAATGCCCTTTCACCCATTGTTTTAAGTTTCATAGATGGTAAAATAAATTTCTTTTTGTCAACTGATGATCTTAAACTGCGAGTTGGAATGTACAGTCTTAACAGATTTGATAAATATGATGGTGCTTTATCATTCAAACATTTGTGACAAATGGTGGCCAACTTGTACACAATCCTTTTCTCAACAGGAAGCCAATGCAAAGTTCGTAAAAGAGGTTTAGCAGAGTCTGGCTTTCTTTTCCGTAAAACTAAACGTGCTGCATTGTTTTGGACAGTTTGAAGTCTTTTAACTTTCTCCAGTGATATTCCTGATAACAAGGAGTTACAATAATCGAGTTTTGATAAAATTAAGCTAGTTACTAGTAAAGCAGTATACTTGGTATTGATCAGATGACGTATTTTACTAATTTTTCTTATTTCTAAATACATGCAGCTGATCAGATGATTTACCTCAGCCGACATTGACAAACTAGAATCAAAATAGATGCCAAGATTCTTAACTTTTCTGGAAAATAAAATTTTTGCATCACCAATTTTAATGTGATCAGGCTCTCGTCAATTTTTGGGCATGTAGAGTTATTGATATCATCTTAAATCTTGTTCAATTGCCTTTGTACAGGTGAAAAAAATATCCATTTATCTTGAATACAAGTCGAGATATTTGCGAAAGAAAGAGGTGGAGGTAACCTGTTTTCAGAGGTAAAATTAGTGAGAAAATGGCCGACAAAATAAGTTATTTCCTTAGCTTAAGAGTCCATGGTAACTGAAAATTAAAAATCTTTTGTGTCTTTAATCAACGTTTTTCATAAAAATTTCCACAGAAATGAGTTCTTTTATAGGCATGAAAGGTGTTGAGCCAAAAATCAAAATTTTGATAAAAATTCATAAACCTGCGGAAAAATGCAAGTTTCTTCACTTTGATTATTTTGACGAGAGCCTGATTCCACCACGCTGCCTCTCGTATATGCATTCAATTTCTTTTGGTAACGTTTTTTTTCTCCAGGGAAAATTGTTCTCGTGGACAACTTTGAACGGAGAGACTCGTGTGGCCAATCTCAGCTGGCTTCTGCAGTGCCTGAATGTGTTGTTCACCAGCAGTCAGGGGTCGGAGGTGAACAATGGGAAGGATCCTGTTCTAGGGGACGCAACCCCGGTCACAACCCATGAACTGCTGAAGGAGGAAGTGGCGAAGAGGAAACTGGACTGGACGCAGGTATGTTGGGACATAATAATAACTGACATAATAATGATAGATAGATAGATAGATAGATAGATAGCACTTGTATAGCGCGAATCACCTCTCAACAGCAAGGTCTATACGCTTCACAGTCTATACTATTACCCCAGCAGACCTGAGAGCATTCTGAAACTACCTCAACTTCCTGGGAAGCATACAGTGCAAGCAGCCTTTTATAGGCGCTAAAACACTAACATACTGACAAGATCTTTAGCTGTCTATGGCCGGATACCCTTTCACACCTGGGTGAAGTGAGGAAAATTCGCGTAAAGTGCTTTTTCCAAAGACACAACGTCGAGCCCGAGACTCGAACCCCCGAACCCGCAACTTCACGGTTACGAGTCGAGTAGCCTAACCACTAGGCCACCGACATAACTCCTGCATGACATAGGATAAATCTGTGCTTCACCTTTATTATTGTTTATTTTACTGTTCATTTATATTATGCATGTGACTGTGAGCCTGTTTCTACTTCGTAATGTGATACCTACATCTCCCCTCCCCCTCCCCCAGGGCAGTGCTACTGACTGAAGTGTCTTTAGGTCATTTCCACAGAGGGGATATAACATGTTCTTGTGCTCTGTAGAATTGTAAATGGACTGATTTATCAATGTTATGCTCATACTGTGCCGGAACAACATAGGAGGAACTGCTGCTTTTTCTTTCCTCATCCTTACTATCGTTCATTTTTCCTCTACTTCTTTTGTATGTTTGTCACTCTCTTGTGAACTGCTATTTCTGGGGTGCCTTGATAGTTGAAGAAGACTTTGTGCTGTTGAGGCTAGACAGGTGAGCAGAGTTAGCCTGGTTCCCCGTTTGGACTTCTCTGTTGACATCCACCCCTTGGCGCTCATATGACCGTATGCAGTTGCGAGGGCCGTAAAACTCTACTAAAGCTAAAATAAATTGTTTCCTCCACAGTTTGAGCAAGTGCTGACTGAGTTCGAGGAGCTATTCGTGGTTCGCCCTCATGTCGTGACCCCCTTCAACAACCTTCTCCCAGCACCTTCAATGTCCGCTGTAAGTTGATCGTTTTTTTTTTACTATTCCTGGTTAGACAAGTGTATGAGTTGAATGCACCTATCAACGCTATTCAGTCATCTAACTTTTTATCTCCTGAACCCCTGTGCCAGTGAGCCGCTGACAGCGACTGGGGCACCTTCCGTTACGACGACTCCGACATCAAATTACTTTTTGGCAGTTACTGAAAACAGGTCTCATCAATCGGGAATTCATTCATTAGATGAAGAACTATCAAAATAGGTTCATTTGTTTTGATTTAATGACCAATTTAATGAAGATTTTGGCTTTTTAAAATTTAGTACCAAATACGGGCCTGGCATAGTGGGTTTATCCCCCTCGGAGATAAAGAGTCAAGAGTTGGGACCTCTGAATTTTACATCTGTCTCCGATAGGACCTAGCCAAATGAGTTGAGAGCCTTGAAAACACAAAACAGCCCAGTTCTAGAATGCTGAGCCTAGGATTCGAACCAAGGCCAACTGCACTGTAGTCAAGCATGATACCAAATGAGCTGACGGAGTGCCCACAATAATTATAATAAATAAATGACATTTCTATAGCGCTCAACCGCGATTAAAGTACACAGGCTCTGAACGCTTTACAATACAATACAATGTACAACAGTAACATGTAACGTAAAACGTTGTGTTCTGACCAACAGAAAATCACTCCAAATAATCATCTTATTAATTTAAAATGTTTGATTGTTATTGGGTTGCATTTTTTCGTTTGTTTTGTTTGTTTGTTGTTTTCTTGTTGTTGCTTTTTTCATTTTTTTTTTTTTTTTTGGGTGGGGAGGGGGGATGACAATATTTTTATTTGGCCAAGGCATGTTGTTCTGGGAATTCTTTTTCATTTAGAGAAAGGTTGTCTGTCTTCTGCTGTTTTCTGCCTCTCATCCAGACCACAAAGACCTAAATAGTAGAATGAATAAGTTCCTGCCCACTCCACTCTGTCTGTGCAACTGATAGATTTCTATTTCGATCTACTTTGTTTTTACGTAAAGGAGTAGGTTTGTTAGTCAATTTTCTGGAAGTTTTTTACTTTTTTTTATTGGGGGGGGGGGGATGAGTTGTTTGGGGGGGGGGGGGGTATTGTAGAGATGTTTGCCTACCTTTGAGACATTGAGACCTGTGCTCTTACCCTCCTCTTCTCTTTTCTTTCTTTCTTCACTCCCTTTACTTAGAAAAGTAAAGTTGTTTGAGATAAATTATGTCTACTTCGCTTTACACACACATGTCCGTCTCTTCATTCTGCAGAAAATATTTTATGAATTCGACAAAGATTCGAAAGAAGACGGCATCCACGTGAGTTACAGTTTTGCCCTCAACGAGAACGTAACGACGGGCCTCCTGCACCGAATTCTCTTGCGCTGCCTGCAGCTCCACCGACCCACCCACCTGTGGAGGAACGGGGCCATCATCAATGACAGCATCGTGGCCGTAATGGTCGGACACCTGGGTATGTGGTTGGATGAGAAGTCAGTGGAATTGTGCTCTATTGATGTTACTGATTTCTAGAAAAACATTTTCGTCTTTCAAAAAAAAATATTTTAAAAAGCCACAAAAACCCCCCAAAAAACCTTGAATACAGTGAAACTCAGATACATTAAACTCAGATACATTAAACTCAGATACATTAAACTCAGATACATTAAACTCAGATACATTAAACTCAGATACATTAAACTCAGATACAACAAAAACTTGGATTCAATGAAAGGAAAAGAATTCCCTGTTTTATTTTTAATTCATGAAAAAAAATTTAATAACTTGGGTTCAACAAAAGAAAAAAATTCCCTGTTTTTTTAATTAATTAAAATCAACACAATAATTTGGATTCAACAAAAGGAAATAAATTCCCTGTTTTTGAAATTCATTACAATCAACAAAATAACTTGGATTCTACAAACACATAAAGGAGCTCACTTGAATTCAACAAAGCTGCTTGCAGGGCAAACTTCCCATGCTGATGTGGCTTCACACATTTTCATCCCGCGTCAAAGCCTACCTACTCTGTGCAGAGTAGAGGTGGGCAAAATCCGGATAATCTATAAGGATAACCGGATAATTCTCAATGAAACATTATCCGAATTCAGACTCTTAACTCTCTTTCCTAACCCGTTTGCCGAAGTGGGTGCACCCATTTGCTGAAGTAGTGCTAACCAGTTTGTCAAAGTGGTTCAAACCCTTTTGCCGAAGCGGTTTATATACTATAATATAATTATTTGCCGAAGAGGCGCACTAACTTATTATCAGGATTTTGCTAAAGCGACTCATTGCCCAGCTCTAGTGCAGAGATGCTGATGTATAGTAATCATACTCCCCCCCCCCCCTCCCCCCATGGCTACTGATGAATGATATAGCCTCAAAGAATTACGCACTCAATGAATGAATTGTGCTCTGGTCTGTGGAAACAAATCTTTGATAGATCTGGTCTCAAATAACTTAGTCTTGGAAACGTTAGTTTTCAAGTCGTTTTCTTTTTTTCTTTCTCTCTCTTTCAGTCCTTTCTTTCTTCCGTCTGTCCCTCGCCCTCTTCCCCCACTCTCTCTCTCTGTGTCTGTCTGTCCATCTCTCTCTCTCTCTCTCTCCACCCCGTCTCCCTTTCTCTCTGTGAATAGTAATAATAATAATTAATAATAATAATAATAATGATAATAATGGATAATAATAATAATAATAATAATAATGATAATAATGAAATGATAATAACAATAATAATAATAATATGTCTAATAAAAGAATATGATTGATAATGACATGTGATAAACAATGAAAATAATGGTATATGATACTGTACATATTAAATTCTACTTTTGTATTAAATCTCAATCAATATTCATGTTCTAAAGTGACAAACATCTCAACATGACATCAATATTCATGTTCCAAAGAGACAAACATCTCACTCTATGACATCAATATTCATGCTCTAAAGAGACAAACATCTCAACATGGCATGAATATTCATGCTCTAAAACGACAAACATCTCAACATGACATCAATATTCATGCTCTAAAACGACAAACATCTCAACATGATATCAATATTCATGCTCTAAAACGACAAACATCTCACTCTTTGACATCAATATTCATGCTCTAAAGAGACAAACATCAGACAAACATCAGACAAACATCTCAACATGACATCAATATTCATGCTCTAAAACGACAAACATCTCACCATGAGATCAATATTCATGCTCTAAAGCGACAAACATCTCACTCTGTGACATCAATATTCATGCTCTAAAACGACAAACATCTCACCATGAGATCAATATTCATGCTCTAAAGAGACAAACATCTCAACATGACATCAATATTCATGCTCTAAAGTGACAAACATCTCCGTCTGGCATCTCCAGCGGCCCAAAAAGAAGACGAGGACTACTGTAACAGCAAGATCATCAACCTGTCCGCGTACATGATGGCTCCACTCTCCTCTGACGCGTCGGACGTTGGACCAAATGCTTTCCTGTTGTGGAGCACGATCGAGAAGTATCGGTCTGTGGTTCTCCACGCTCTCTTTGAGGCCGGCCTCGTCTGGGAGGAAATTTGCCGAGCCTCGACAGAGATCTTCCCCGCACCGAGTAAGTGTTTTTTAGTTTTAGCAAGCGTTATACGGCACTTGCAACGCAATTAGGTCATATAAGTGCCCAAGATTAGAGGTGTTACAAGAGAGCAACAAGCATAAAAAAGAAAGGGGAAGGATAAAGACGATAGTTGTTCAATAGGAAAGAAGGAGAAAACCACACCAGAGTACCCGCCGACCACCCGCTGATCTGGGAGGAAATTTGTCGAGCTTCGACAGCTATCTTCCCCGCACCAAATAAGTGTTTCGGTGAAAGTGAAAGTATAACCATGGGTGGTTGGTGGGTGTTCTGGTCCACATGGTTTGCTTCTTCTTTTCTATCGAACTTCTGTTGTTCTTATGTCTCCTTCTTCTTTTCTATCAAACATCTATTGTTCTTATCCCTCCTTCTTTTTTGTGTTTGTTTGTTACTCTCTTGTAACACCTCTAATCTTCAACACTTATATGACCTTAATGTGTTAAAAGTGCCATAAAACTTTAACTAAAACTTATAAAAGTATAACCCCACGCCGCCCCCATGTTCTCTTGCATCATGACAATCACAGCCAATTTTGGAGTGGATGCTATCATCATCATCATTGCCCTTTTCACCCTGTTTATTCTTGGGGGGTGGGGGTTTTGTTGACAAATTATGGCTACGTCAGAATTACAAAGTTCTATCTGACATTTTTGGCCATTTTGAGAAACTTAGACCGTGAGATCATAAATCAAGAGCTCTATACAAATCATAAGATAATTATGAGATGTTATCAAGATATTCAAGGAATTTCTCAAAACTAGGTACTGAGCAGAGAGAAATTTGTAATCCTGAGGAAGCGAAATAAGTGTGTGTGTCTTTGCACAGACAGTCATTGTTTTGGGAGAGGGGGGGAGCGAAATAAGTATGTGTGTCTTTACACAGACAGTCATTGTTTTTTTGAGGGGGGTTGCTTTTTTTTCTAACTGTACTTGTTTTTACTTCAGGGATGCCACTTTTCCACTTTTTTCCGGTATTTCCGGTATTTTGATCCTGATCCGCTATTCCGTTATTGAGATGGAGATAGAATCTATATTTGGGAAAAAACAAACAAGCAACAACTTGCGCCAAATGTTCAAATAACGGAAACACTTTGTACACCCATTGTTTGTGTTTGTTTGTCATTTCTTTCTATGTACACCCATTGCTTGTGTTTATTTGTCATTTCTTTCTATGTACACCCATTGTTTGTGTTTGTTTGTCATTTATCTCTATGTACACCCATTGCTTGTGTTTATTTGTCATTTCTTTCTATGTACTCCCATTGCTTGTGGTTGTTTGTCATTTCTTTCTATGTACACCCATTGCTTGTGTTTGTTTGTCATTTATCTCTATGTACACCCATTGCTTGTGTTTATTTGTCATTTCTTTCTATGT